GTATGTACAAAAATTACCTGTAACCACCAGATTTCCCAAGTATAGCCACATTATTATTGCTACAATACTATATATAATTTAATACCATTGTTGGGAAGTCCAGGTTATATAACCCCCTCTTGAGAATAAGTCTAACTGTCACTTCTCAAATAATACTATCAGGGAAGAAACACATGTTTTCTGCTTCTATAATGATTTGTGATGTAGGTACTTGGGATCTGAACTGCCTTTACGGAAGTCCAAACTTCCAAGTTGGAGGAGCTTCCTCAGGAAGACCTGGATTGTATATGAAGAGACACCAGTAGCCAATCCTCAGGCCTACGTTCACCAGACTCTTCAGCTATGGAATTGGGATTCATTTGCTTCTAGTATTGAGTTTCATGACTGTATCCTGTTATGTATCAGCAGTCATCAAATTATATTGATCGGCAAAATGTGTGCCATCATAATAAAAGCATTAAAATGTGGCTTTGATGACTGTCTTTGATCAACAATAACACACCCGAGAGTCTTTTGTATTCATTTATGTATGAGTAGGCATTGTATACTCAGAGGCAAGTAGAGAGTGTAGGCTGTCATATTTTGTCACTGTCTCTCTATTTCTTTTTGAAGGATCTCTGGCTGAAGCTATGGCTTGCACTTCAGCTAGTCTAGAAAACAGCCTCAGAAATCCTCCTTCTTCAGACTTCCACCCACCCCAGAGCTGTGATTGCAGATAATTTCAAGGTGGCCAGATTTGTTACTATGGGTACTGGAACCTGAAACCTAGTCCTCATAATTTCAGATATCTTAACTGCTGAGCAATCTTTGTAACCCAGCTTAGGGTTTTAGAAATATTATCACAGCATAGTTATGAAGAGAGCTCAAGGAATAGAGTGGATATCAAAAAAGAGTTTTCCAGGCTTGGTGATACATGGATGTAATCTCAGCATTAAGCAAGGAAGGTCATGAATGCAAGGTTAACGTAAGTTACACAGAGACTCTGTATCTCCAAAACTGAGGAGAGGGAGGGTAGTCTTCCCTACCAATATAAGAAGAACTCTTTGCTGTGGCTTTATTCTGATGGAGAGTGCTATTACACAACAGACGTCTTGGGGTTCTTATCTGTTTAAGTAAGCAACGGTATCATCTCAAGTTCCACTTCCACTAAGTTTGCTTTTCTTGCTGTCATTACCCAACTTTTAGCATCTTTGCATGCATATTAACTGTTTAGTATAGGGAGACTAAGTGTCAAATTGAGAATCTGATTGTTTCAGTGTCATACTTCAGACATTGTTGATTTTTTTTCTCTAAAAATTGTTTTATCTGCTTGGATGTCATCAGGATCATTTTGAGAAGAATTTGACATTTGAGATAGGTTTAGTATATCTTTTCCTTTATAGATATAGTAGTTCGACTATCTATCTATCATCTCTCTCTCTCTCTCTCTCTATATATATATATACATATATATATATATTCTATCTATTATTTAGTTGTCTAGTTTGTTTTGCTCTTAAGGCAGGTTTTAGCTATATAGCACAAGCTATACTTAAATTTACTATCTTACTATCTTTATGTCTCAGGCTTATAAATCCTGAGATTGCAGGCATAAGTAGTCCAGCTGTCAAAATATGGCTTTTGCAGCATGTCACCTGAGTGATCAAAATGCTGAGTAGAGTGTTTTTCATCTGACTGATCAGAGATCCTGTAAACCTCAGCATCTTTGAGTTTTACTGTGTGAATTTAGTCCCTAAAGTGTTTGTCTGTTCCATGCCTTCTAATGGATAACCCTTGTATGGATTCTTTCCCTCATTCCTGCTGCCTGATGTTCAATATAGCTATGAAGAGAGCCCAAGTAATAAAAGGGGTATCCCAAAAGAGCATGACAGTCTTGGTGACACAAGGCTACAATCTCAGCACTGGGGTAGAATATTATTTTCAGTTGTGGAACTTGTATTTATGCTGAACTTGAATAACTTTGTGAAGCTGTGATTCTTTTTTTGTCTAAAACACCTTATGGTTTAATAAAAAGCCAAATGGTCAATAGGAAGACTTTAGCAAGAAGAGGCAGGACTGGAAGGCAGAGACTATAAATAAAAGGAGAACCAAGGAGAAAGGAGGGACAAGAGAAGGAGAGGAGGACACCAGGCGACAACCACCCAGTCAGACAGTTAGCAATGATGGGAAAAGGCAAGTAAGATACACAGAAGTAAGAAGGAACACTCCTCCACTGCTGGTGGGAATGCCGACTCATACAGCCTCTTTGGAAATCAGTATGGAGATTCCTCAGGAAAATGGGAATTAATCTACCACTAGACCCAGCAATTCCACTCTTAGGCATTTATCCAAATGAGGCAGGTTCATACAACAAGGGCATCTGCTCCACTATGTTCATAGCAGCATTGTTTGTAATAGCCAGAACCTGGAAGCAACCTAGATGCCCCTCAACTGAAGAGTGGATAGAGAAAATGTGGTACATTTACACAATGGAGTATTACTCAGCAGAAAAAAACAATGGAATCTTGAAATTCGCAGGGAAATGGATAGCACTGGAAGAAACCATCCTGAGTGAGGTAACCCAGTAGCAAAAAGACAAACACGGTATGTACTCACTCATATATGGATTCTAGATATGGATCAGGATAGTGCCAGTCTGCACTTCCACAGATAGAGAGTCTGGGAAACAGGAAAGAACCGAAAAGATATGCATATATGCATAGTATCCAAGAGAAGAGGATGGAGACAAGATCCTCTGATGGGGAACACGGCGAGGGTGGGGGGAGTGGGACCTGGGAAGAATAGAGGGGGTAAAAAGGAAGGGAGTTGGTCATGGGGAAACAGGAAGTTGAGGGGGTGGGGGTAGAATAGGGGGAAGAGGGAATCATAGGATCGAAGACAGATCAGGCACCAGAGTGACCTCGAGTGATCTAAAGGGATAACACCAATTGGTAAGCTAAGCAATAGTGGAGGGATCACCTCGAATGCCCATCCCTGATAATGAACTTGATGTCTATAACCATCTGGGAGCCTTCATCCTGTGACTGATGGAAGCAGAGGCAAACACACAACTAAGCACTGAACTGAACCCAAGGAACCCAGTGACAGAGAGAGAGGAGTGATGAGCAAATTGGCAAAGAATGGGCTGGCAAAACCAGCAGACAGCTGATCTGAACAGCGGAGTGCTCTTGGACCCCAGACCGACAGTGGGGAGGCCAGCATGGAACTGATCTGGACCCCCCAAATGTGAGTGTCAGTGAGAAGGCCTGGGCAACCTATGGGGCCCTGAGCTGTGGATCAGTGTCTATCCCTGGTATACAAACTGTTTTCATGTGCCTATAGCACAAAGAGAGATGCTCTCTCAGCCTGGACTCTTAGGGGAGTGCCTTGACCCTACCAAGAGTAAAATGACAGACTCTAGATATCCCCTATGTGGAAGGATTTGGCAATAGGATGGGAGGGAGGGGGGGAAGGGGAGTGCGGGAGGAGGGGAGGGAGAGGGAACTGGGATTGACATGTAAAACAAGCTATTTAAAATTAAAATAAAAAATGATAAAAAAAAGAAAAAGCCAAGTGGAAAAGGTAGATTGGTTAATTTAAGATAAGAAAAGCTGGCTCAAAACAAGCCAAGCTAAGGCAGTGTACTCATAACTACAAATAGGCCTCTGTGTATGATTTACTTGGGAGCAGGGTGGTGGGCCCCTCAAAAAGGCCAAAAAGCAAACAGGTAATAGTAAAACACCAACAATACAGCACTCAGCAAGGAAGATCATGAGTACGAGGTTAACATGGTCAAAATCCCTGGCTTTGGTTTTTATTTTCAGACAGCACTTAGCTTCAAGCCAACAAGCTTTGGGGGAAGGATACAATAGATCATCTGTAATTATTGATATTATTCTCAAATGCAGCTTTTAATTATTGTTGAATCAAAATTCTAATAAATTATACCTCACAATGAGGTTCATCGTTTATTTTAAAAAGGCTTACTCTATGTAATTAATATTAAATGGCTTTCCACATGTAAGTATATGAAAATTTAAAAAAATTATCTGCTCCCTAACACAAGAAACATAAAATCCAAATGCCATTACTTTCCTCTTTTAATTTTCAGTGCTGGGGGTTGATCCTGACGTTCTGCCCATGCTAGGCAAGAGGCCTACAAATATGCTTTATTGCAACATTTATATCAACATATTGAATATGCAATAAGTAGAATATTAAGATTTGTTTTCTTTTCCATTTGAAAAATAATTAACTTTTATCACCATTAGTAATTTTCACTGGGGGAGGGCATCTTAAAGAATAGAAGATACTAAAGCTATCAGTTTAATTTTAATAAAAGTTCCTTTTAATGTTTTTTTTTATTTTTCCAGCAGAATTTTTAAAATGTGTGGTAAGAAGACTAGTATAAGTCATAAGAAAAAAAAAGATTCTAGACATGAAATTTTGTAAAAAGTTATATAAAGACACAAATATTCACATAATAAATAAGCAAAACAAAGTTTTTATATTATCCATTGATATTAAGTTAAATATTTAAAAGCAAATAACTTAGATTTTTTTATTTTACTGATATCCCTGGATTTTTATGTCTCTTATGATGATTCTTCTCATTTCAAAACTTGTAAAACTGGTATCTGGACCATTGTATACTATGAAACTTTTAGGTATAAATATCTTACTCTATAAAATACATTTTAGCTTGTGATAGTAATAGTAATTAGAAACAGTTACATATAAGGTATTGAATTTTCTGTTGTTATGTATTTGATTTTTAATGCAACTGAAAAGACCTGGTGGACTAGATTAATCATTATAAATTTCAACTGAAAAAATTACTTGAGTAGCTTAGGTATCATTTACTTCTCAAAAGGAAATAATTGTAGCCTATGTTCTATTTAAACAATTACTGACATATGTAACTTCGCAGAAGTAAATATACAATCCTAAATAAAAGAAACAGGCATTCAAAGAAAACATTTGGATATCCTGGTGAAAATTGAAAATATTTATGAACTCACCTTTGTAGGTTAGCTTCAGACGTGGAATATTTTGTTTAGAAGTTTCAGTGACAGGAAGAAACAGTACACTAGTGATTAGCATCACCCAAGCATGAAGAAGGTGAAGATCTTGACTTCTTGACCTTGGCATCTCATCTCTATTAACATTCATGATGAAAATACTGTTTTTCAAGCACTGTCGACTCAACCTAAGAAGCAGAGAAAAAGGAGAAAATAAAAATACTACTCCAAGCCGGGCATTGTTGACACGTGCCTTTAATCCCAGCACTCAGGAGGCAGAGGCAGGTGGATCTCTGTGAGTTCAAGACAAGCCTGGTCTACTGAGCGAGTTCCAGGACAGGCACCAAAACAATACAGAGAAACCCTGACTCAAAAAACAAAACAAAACAAAACAAAACAAAAAATACTACTCCAAGGCAATATCTTATATTCTCCTATAATTAGCAACAGTTTTCTAAATTCATGACATGTTTCCAAAGAATAATTTGTCTTTTCTCCTGCTTTGTTTTTACAGACATATTACAGAGAAACTGAGTCAGAACTAAGTAATAAAACTCAAGTTTGTCTTTATTTGGAAGAATGAATACATTAGTATAAATTCAACTATTGTGTTAATGAATAACTTTCTTCTCCTCAGGTTGTTGTATTTTTGTTTTTGTTTTAAGTGTATCTTCCTGGGGCACTATCTGTTTTTTTCAAAGCATGGTGGCTCTGTTCGTAAAGAAGAAGTGCTTGAAGAGCTCTATTTGTGTTTGATAACAACCTCAAAGGAAAAGATTCTCAAATGGGAATAGACAAAAGACAGTGTGTCCCCCTTCCAAGGCTTTATAGATGTTTAGGCTGATGCAATTGGATAAGACCATGCTATGACCGTGATATAGAAGTTAGAATAGAAGCATGCCCTCGACCATGACTGCAGGTAAATCTGCTCCACACAGCGCAAGGCTGCACGAAATATTACATTGTAAATATAAAATATGGACATTTATGAGAGGAAGAAAAGAGTTACTAACTACACTTTCCACAGTAAGACTGGATGTTCTTTGGTAAGAAACATTGAAAATAAAAATAATTCAAATTAAACCTGAAATTAAAAGTTCGCATGCACCCATTTATTAAATATGTATATATCAGATGTATTCAAAATATGTTTTGTATAATACAAATAATTTAACAATAACACTAATGACATCTGAGAAACACAACTCTTTAATAATGTCACTGTTGAGAAAAACAGGGACAGAGCTAAATAATTCTTCTGCCACATGGTTAAGTAAGAGTTGAGTCAGAACATTTGATCAGGAGTTGGTCTAGTGGCTGCCTTATTCATGCCTAAATACATGGTATTTTTTTGTGTAGAGGCCAGCTATCTTCAATTTATAATGGGGTCTTAATTCTCTTGCCTCACCATTAAGGTATCATCTGTGTTTGTAGTCAACAATCACTAGAAAGGATGCTGCTAGATTGGAGCCAACAAGTATTCCTTATGTGGTGCTTGAGTTTTAAAATTATTAGATAGATAACATTGGTATTTCATTGTTGACAACTTTATACATAATGGATGTGAATCCTCTTTTAAGCAGTGTTATTAATATTGAATATTCAGAACAAAGATTTTAAATTTATTTGTTTTAGTTTTAGAACATTTAATTAACGTTCTAATTTTTTTAAAGGGAGATCAGCTATTCAGGATACTGAAGTGTGTGACATACCTTTATTTGTTAGTACTGCCACTTTCATGCTAGGAAAGTTTTATGCCTTTAAGCTATACCCCAGATCGGCTAAAGACTTTCAATATCAAGGTTACCTTAAATCTCAGAAGGTAAAATCCATCCTTAAAAGTAAAATAACATCAAATCTTAAGGTATATGAATTTATGCACTAAGGATTATCCCTTACATAATATGTGACATTACTTCAGATGGAGTATTATATATGCATGATTACATTTATTTGTATATTTAGAAATAACATTTTATTAAATGTGCACTTAGAACTATTTAGTTCAGATTTACTTGACACTTTTTGACGTTTTTACCCAAGTGAGTATACTGTGACAGATAAAAAGTGTGATGGGTTTGTTTGGTTGTCAACTTGATTACATCTGTTGTTAACTAAAACACAAATGACTGAGCACAACTGCAAGGGATTTTTTAATGAAATAATTTGAAGGTGGAAGATACAGTTTTAATCAGGATGTTCTGAGATAAGAAAATAAAAAAGTAATCCACATCTTTTGAGGTGAGAAGATCCACCTTTAATCTGGCCCACACTTTATTCACACGAAATAAGGAAGTTGTATGTCTCTGTCTCTGTCTGTCTCTCCTTCTGTCTCTATGTCTCTGTCTTTCTCTGTCTCTCTGTGTCTCTGACTCTCTGTCTCTCTCTCTTTCTCTCTCATTTTCTGTCTGTCTGTCTCTCTGTCTGCCTGCTTGTTCTCACCTTTGCTAGAAAGTTCATTCCTTCACTGACATTAGAGTCTACTTTAGGATTCTGACACAAATTGAAGACAGCTTAGATCTCCAGCCTCTGATAGATTCTTGGACCTTCTGTTATTAGGCAGCCATTGTTGTACTAGTTGGACTACAGCTATAGGCATTGCAATAAATCCTATAAGGTTTGTTTCTCTAGAGATCCCTGCCTAATAAAAATGGAATGGCTATCTCAAAACACACACACACACACACACACACACACACACACAACACACACACATGGAAGATGACACGGTTAGTGGATGAAACGGCTTGCAGCACAAGCCTGAGTTCAATATCCAGAACACACCTCTAATCTTAGTACCATCTGTCCCGGGGTGCAGAAGAAACAATGAGGGGGCATTTTTCAACAAATGAAAGGCAAGAATTAGCTCCTGAAGGTTGTCTCCTATTTTCCATAGGCAAACTATGGTCCATGTAAATGATGTCCTCACATCTTTCACCCACAATGTATCAAATTTAAGATGATAAATAAATCATCACCCCCTTATAAATTATAAATATGCATATATTAATATAACACACTAATGGATACTTTATTTAATAATAAATTTGAAATAACTCAAAATTAAAATTTTTTGACTTTTGTATTTGTGTGTGTGTGTGTGTGTGCGTGTGTGTGTGTGTGCGTGCGCGTGTGTGTGTGTGTGCGTGCGTGCGTGCGTGCGTGTGTGCGTGTGTGTGTGCGCGTGTGTGTGTGCGCGCGCGCGCGTGTGTGTGCACGCGTGTGTGTGTGTGTGTGTGTGCGTGTTGTGTGTGTGTGTGTGCGCGCGCGTGTGTGTGTGTGTGTGTGTGTGTGTGTGTGCATGTTCACTTGTAAACAGGTGCATACCTGTAGAGAAGCCACAGGGCAATCTTGCATGTTATTCCTCAAAACTGTCCACCTAACTTTTAGTTAGGCAGGGTTTCTCACTGGTTTGGAACTTACTGAGCAGGGTAAATTGTCTGTCAAGCAAGTCCTATGACTTCATTTTTCCAGATCTGTAAATTACAAGTGCATAGCGCCATTCCTGGATTTTTTATTTTATTACTGGGATTCTGGGATTTGAACCTGGGTCTTCATTTTACCAACTAAACACTTTATCCATCTCATTTTTAAAGTAGTGGATTAGCACAGTTATGCTATTTCCCAAACAGATTCCTCTTGATAATCTGTTAAAAATATTAAATTGTTTTGAATTGCATTTTTAACTATTCAGTGTCTAATAAATGCAACCTTTCAACTTTTCTGTTTGTCCTTATGCTCTTGAAAATGATGTCTTATAGATTTACCCTAGGTATTTGTCGCTCTTGACAACACTTATCATAAGTTTATGTTTGGTTATTCAACTTTGTATCTTGTTTATTTGAAAAACAGTCTTTTCTCATTTTGCATTCCAATCCCAGTTCCCACTCCCCTCCTCCTGCTCTCCCCACCTTCCCCCACCCTACATCTTATTCACTCCTCAAAGGTAGTAAGGCTTCCCATGGGGAGTCAAGGAAGTCTGATAACTCTTTGAGGCAGGACCAACAGCCTCCCCCATATATTTAGGCTGAGCAAGGTATCCCTCCAACGAGAAAGGTCTCCAAAAAGTCAGTTTAAGTACTAGGGATAAATTCTGGTCCAACTACCAGTGGCCCCACAGATGGCGCCACAATCAGAGGGCCTAGTTTGGTACTATCCTGATTTCCCTGATGTCAGTCTAGAGTCAGTGAGCTCCCACTAGCTCAGGTCAGCTGTTTCTGTTGGTATCCCCAAACTGGTCTTGCCCCCTTTGCTCATATTATCACTCCTCCTCTTCAGCTGGACTCTGGGAGCTCTGCACAGTGCTTAATTTTGGATCTCTGAATCTGCTTCCATCAGTTTCTGTGTGAAGGTTCTATTATCATAATTCAGGTAACAGTAACATAAAATAGCAGTTTACAGATTGGTAAAAGATCTTCAACAACCCCACATCTGACAGAAGACTTTATCTCCAAAATATATAAAGAACTCAAGAAACTAGACATCAAAATGCCAAATAATCCAATTAAAAAGTGGGGTGCAAATCTAAACAGACTTCTCAACAGAAGAATCTTAAATAGCCGAAAGACACTTACAGCCAACATCCTCAGCCATCAGGGAAACGCAAAACAAAATGACTACCAGATACCATCTTATGTCAGTCAGAATGGCTAAAATAAAAAACACCAATGATAGTTTACGGTGGAAAGGATGCCGAGTAAGGGGAGCACTACTCCATTGCTGATAAGAGTGCAAACTTGTACAGCTGTTGTGGGAATCAGTGTGGCAATTTCTCAGAAAACTGGGAATTAATCTACCTCAAGACCCAGCAATACTCTTGAGCATATATTCAAAGAATGCACTCTCATATCACAAGGATATTAGCAGAATTGTGTTTATAACAGCATTATTCATAATAACCAGAATGTGTAAACAAGGTAAACTGCCTCTCAACTGAAGAATGGATATAGAAAATGTGGTATATCAGGGCTTACAGTGATGGTTCTGCTTCATCTTGATTTAAGGTCAGAGAGTTCAAAATTGTCCTTAGTCTTCCAAAGTAAGCCATAAGACCTACCAATCTAAGGTGTGTCTACTGTAGGAGGCTTGATCTTGGTCGTGGATGTCTTATCTAAATAAGAAAAGACTTGGTCTGAGTTATGGTTACTCTTTACCATCAAGGCCAGATAAGGAGAAACTGAGTCTCAGG